CTCGGGTAAAAAAGAATAATTTTAGTTTTATAAATACATTAAATAAAATAAATGTTTAAATAAAAGCAATTATATAGTGTTTTAATTATCCTATCCATATTCTTGAATCCTCACTTCAGAATAATAACTTAACAAAATTTGTAAATGTGATGTGGCCCGCATGAATCTTGCCTGTTGCACCAAATGGCCCATGTTTTAATTGAGTTTGACACCCCTGGACTAGAAGAAGGCTTAAAAAAAAAAACCAAACCATGATCCAATTATATGACTACAAGAGACACAGTTCAGACATAAGGGCACCAAATAGGCTGAACATAAAAGGACTAAAAGATATGCCATTCAAACCGTACTCAAAAGAGATCCAGAACAGCTATATTAATATCAGACAAGATAGACTTTAGGACAAAAATTGCTACTAGAGACAAAGAGGGACAGTTTATAACGATGAAAGGGTTAATCCACCAAGATGATATAACAATTATAAAAGCATATGTACCTTATAAAAGAACAAAAATACATGAAGTAAAAATAAATTTTCAAATGGATTAAAGCTATGAATATAAAAAAATCAAATAATTTACTATAAGAACTTTAGGGTAATATTTTTATAATCTTTGGAGGACAGAAACTTTCTTAAGCAATAAAGGAAAAAACAGATGAATTTAATGATATAGAATTTAAAAACTTTGTATGGCAAAAATATAATAATGAGATAAAAAGATAACTAAATGGGAAAAATATTTGCAACAAGGATTAATATCCCTAATATATAAAGAACACTTAAAAAGTGATTAGAAGAGAAAAAAATAACCAAAAGACTGGACAAATGAAATAGGCAGTGTATAAAGAGAAAATGCAAATAGCTAAAACCTTACTGGTATTCCTGGAAATACAAGATACCATCGTTTACCTATCAGTTGGCCTAAAAAAAAAAAAAAGCTCCAGTACTGGTACAATGTCCAGTGCTGGTAACGTGGTAACAAAAACAGCATATATCCCTGATGGTAGTGTGCCCTGCCACAACTTCAAAAAAATAATAATAATAACATGGCAGTAGTTTTTATTAAAATTTACAGTGGACATAGATTTTAAACCAACAATCCCACTTTGGGGAATCTATCTTGCCCCAAAACAAACACTACTACAAAAGTAATATATTTATTTATTATAGAAAATTATGATGAACATCAATTTTGATTTTTCCCTAAACCTAAATAATTTTTTCTGGCTTTTTTCCTACTACTGACATGAATCTATCATTCTCACCAATAAAACAGAAGAGGCTATTTTTTCCCACCACTATTTTATGAAAATGTGAAACACAAAATGCTGAAAGAAATGTATGGTGAGCACCTGTATACCCAGTACCCATTACCTTAATTCTATAATTAACATTTTGTTCTATTTATTGTATCATATATGCTCATCTACCCATGCTATAGAGAGGCTATCCTTAATTCCTTTTATCTTTTTTCATAGCAAGGCAATATTTAAACATACTGAACAAAGCCAGCAAGAAAATAAACAGCTTTACCTTATTAATAACTCCAATATCCCCTTTACCATGCACACTGCAAGATTAACAGTTTCTCCAAGTATGTTAGCGTCAAATCCAACTCTTTATATGTCTAACAACTGAATTTCTTATTACTGTATTGTCTCCATTTATACTGTAAAATTTCTGCTTTGGAAGAATACCTTCAATGCAAGAAAGCACTGCAATTTACCAGTTTAACTGACAATGGTTCCTGTGTGTCTCTCCTCCTCACCTACATCACTAGTAGCTGATGCCCATCTCAACATTTATATGTTCCCCTAAGAACACAATTCTTAGGAAAGGCCATATTTCTCCCACACCACCAAACAAACACACACAACTTTTAAAGGAAAACATCTATTTCTGTAGTAGAATTTCATTTCTTTACATGTACTCTAAAAAAATATTATGACAAATAAAGTATTACTTGCTTCAATATTTATTTAATTCTAGCCATTTTAATAGACATCTTTGTAATTCAAGTAAAATATATGTCAAGTAAACAAATTTTAAGCATAAGATTAATTTTTTATTCTACACCCATATACCACTACTCTGATAAAGATATGAAAGTGTCAGCAACTCTGGAAAGGTCGCTGAACTTTATGGCATTTAACAGCCTGCCCCTCAAATAAAACCACTACGCTTTAATTGTTGCCTGCTTTTAAATACCATACAAATGGACTATTTGACTTCTTTTGTTCAATATTATATTCTGTGATATTCTTTTTTAGTACTTTTTAGTTTTCGATTATAGGACTATAACAATTTATTTATCCATTCTACTATTGATGGACCTTTGGGTAGTTCCCATTTGGGGAATATTAATAACAAAATTGCCATGAACATTCTAGTACACATCTTTTTATGGACATGTGCTCTTAGAGGTTTTTGTATGAATGCATGCAAATGGTTACAGTTCTGTGACTGATATTCTACATAAAGTTGTTGATAATTTTTTAGTGTTTAATATTATTTATTTTAAGCCCTGAACCTCTAGATCACAGCTAATATGATATGCTAAATAAAATATCAGTTTAAATGTAAATATTTCCATGTATAGGCAATAATTATTAATAAACCAAAATATAACCAACCCTCATTTTCCCATGGCCTGACTATACTGCAAAATAATACAGGTTACAATATGGTGGAAAAGAGCCCTGCCTGGCAAGAGTTCTGGCTCTTTGGACAAGTCACTTAAGCTTTCTGCAACTCAACTGCTTCATCTGTAAAATGAAAGGTGAAGCTAAATGATCTTTTATACTATATCTTGTTTTAATAGCTACAATTTTCTTAGGCTAGCCTAGCCATAAAGCCACTATTATTTATGGCATCTAGCATGCCATGATTCTCAGATTCTAGTCTTAGTACCCTCCTAAAAGAAAACAAGAACAAAAATAATAAATACCTGTAATTAAAAGGTGGGAGGCCATCTTCAGATCTTGAAGTTAGAGGATTTCCATCTTTATCATGGTAGAATGCAAATAGCCCAGCAGAGAAACCCTATAAGAAAAAGTTCAAAATGTCTTAAAGTAAAAAATATCAATTCTGATTAGAGACATAACATGCTGCTATCAAGAGAACGGTGATATAACCACATTAAAACACCACATCAGTACTTCTATGAGAACTTCTCATTTTGGAACTGAACAGTAATTAAGTGTTCCATATTTATGAATTTTAAATTCTAACTACTTGAGGTTATTGTGAGAAAACCAAAAGTAATGGTAACAAAGATATTCTTCAGTAGCAGTATAGACAATGCATTTATTTGTTTAAGAATGTGTTTATCACGGTTGATCTTCACATGAACTTACTAAACTCTATAATTGCATCCAGGGAATGCTGCTATTGAGAACAATTAATATAGTTTAGAGTAGCGGGGTGAGTGATGAAGTGTGATCCTAAGAGCACGCATAAAAATTCAAAGTCTTTGATCCCAAAGTCCATATTTAATACATATCAACACTTTAAAAAAAGAGTGGAAATGTGCGCGCGCGCATGTGTGTGTGTGTGTGTGTGTGTGTGTGTGTGTGTGTGTGTGTTTGTGTGTGTACACTGAAGAAGAAAAAAAGACTGGAAACATATATAGCAAAATGTTAATTATGGTTCTTTTACTAAAAGGGTAATATATAAAATCACTCATATTCCCAAAATATTTTTATAATGTGAATTTGTATGTTTATAATCACATTTTAAATAGTATTTTAAGAAGTCTTCAATTTTAATGATAATGTATACTTCACATAAAGATATTCAAATTCCCATTCGCTATCCCATCCCTCCAAAATAAGATGAGAAAATGGGCAAAACAAAGTTGACATCTGATATCGCCTATTTCATTAGTGAGATTTCTTTCTTTGCTTTCTTTCCTAATCTAATAACTAAAACAAAGCACTTTTGTAACCACTTTTTTATGTATGTTTTATACATTGAAAATATGTTATAGCTTACATTGAAATAACTAACAATCATAAATGATCACTTAATTTTATTGGCAAATTTCTTTGCTTACATAACTGTGGCCTCTGTGTCATTCAAGGCTTGCCAAAATGATTACAAGTCAGATTATTCTTTTATTCCTATATTTCTTCTTCTTTTTTAATCTGAAGATACAAACGACACTTAATGGAGTCAGCTAAAACAATCTAAAGTCTTTAATACACAATTCACTGACGTTATATAAAGCTTAAATAGTATGATTTGCCTCATTCTTTGTAATATTCTAAATGCACATTTTTTCCCACCCTATCAACTAGAAAATGTTTCTAAGCACTCATATTTCAGAAAGATTATCTAGTATTCAAAGTACCATGGATGACTGTAATTAATAGCTATGAACTTATTTAACTTTACAGGGAATACCTGTAGTTGTTATACATTTAATTCTTTTTGTTTTGTTTTTGTTTTTATTATTAGTTTCAAGTGTACAAAACAATGCAAGTTATCCTTTTCACCGCTCATAAAGTGACGACCCCCCACCCCCATCCACTGCCCTCCCACCCCCGATATCATACATATCTATTACAATTTCACTGACTCCATTCCCACACTATACTCCACATGTATAGAAAATTATAGTTGGCATACAATATTATTCAACGGCAGTGGTCAGGCCTCTACACCGTCCATGAAGTGGTCTTCCTAACAAGACCTGAGACCATCTGGCCCCCTAAAAAATATTTCCAACATTATTGATAATATTCCCCAGAATGTCTTTTCTAGTCTGCATTTAATTCTTACCATCCTCCAGGATGGTTTTTGAGACGTAAACTATTTTTACAACTTTTTAAATTTTTCAAATATACAAAAAAATAAATAAATCTAATGAAACTTATGTATCCTCTGTAAGAGGATTTAAGAGGTGAGTTTTGCCATATTTTCTTCACAATTTTTTGTTTATTTTTTTTAAGAAATAAAGCACTGCAGAGTAAATACTGCTGAAGCCTCATTACCTAAACGCTTTCTCCTCCCTCTCTTCCCAGAGGTAACCACTGCCTTGAAGTCAATGTGCATAACTCTGATACATGTTTTTATATTCAGTGGTTTCTCACTTTAATTTGAGATTACCTGACTGCTAAAGTGTGAATACCTTCTCATACATTTCTTGGCCAATTGGATTTTTTCTTTTTTGAATCATCTCTTCATAACCTTAATTCATCTCATGTTTGGGACCTCTGCATTCATGTTCACTTATGAACTAGTCTTAAAACCTGTTGTTTTTCTATGGTTCTCTCATCAAGTATTTTAAAGTTTAAAATATTACTTAGAATGATGCTTGTCTTTCACAAAATTTAGCAGGTTCAACTAACTTTTTTTTAATAAAAGGAAAATAGATGATTTATTTTAGAATCTCCTTACATGAAAGATATGTGTTGTCTGGTTACACTACAGTTTCACCAAGTTATTTAATGTATTCACTGATTTAAAGTCTGAGGCATGCATTTCAAAGTCATACATGATAGTTCACTAAATAAAACTAATAAATAACAGACACTAGTTTCACTATACCATAATATGTACAGCATGGTGCTAAGCCATTTATATGTTTTGTCTTATTTAATCTTCAAGAAAAAAATATCCACTGTAGTATGCACTATAATCTTCATTTTACAAATGAAACTGAGGCTTATAAAGGCTAAGTAATATGTACAAGATCCCAAAGGTTTTTAGTGGTAGAGTTAAGAAGAATCACCCAGATCTGTGTGATCCATTCTCTCTCTTAATTTTACTGCCATCTACTTTCTAACACACAAATAGCATCAGGAGAACATTTCCTAGGGTCTTGGGCAATGTTGTTTAATTCCCTAGGCATATAGTAAAAGTTCAGTATTTTAGATAAATTATGGAAATGGAAGTAGTTCTGAATCAGTATATATAAATTTAGAAAGCCTAAATAGAGCAAGAAGACTTTTAGAAATGAGATCTCTATGGAGATAAGAAAGATCTATAATTAGTATAGCAATTGTCATTTTAGAGGAAAGTGAATTTTTCTAAATTACTAAGTTTTTTTTCTGAAGACGCGTAATTATTTTCTCAAAAATCCTATTTGCCTAATGGATTTACTTAATTATTTTCGGTAGTATAATTAGTCACTATGCTAATCATCACAAATTTTCTATTGGCAGTGGCCTAATCAACTAGGTTTTATGGAACATGAATCTAATAATCTACATAATCTTAAAATTAAATATATACATCAAAATGAGAGCACAATTAACTGAAAATTAAGGCATGAAGAAAAGAACAGTTAACAGCAAATTTACCAGGGCATGAATAATCTCATGTTTCACTGTGGAGAGCATCCCAATAAACTCCTGAGGCTGGGTAGAGATCATATTTGGACACAGGTTAGCATATCCTGCTATTGGCCTGTTAAAATAAACAATGCATTTTTTATTATATTCCACAACAACATGTATTATGATATTTACTAACCTATAATTTTCTATCAAAAACTGCCGAAGGTCAAAAAAATCTTTGCTAAATATTAAATGTCATTTTGTACTATAACATCTAACTTGCACGATCTTTTACTTTGAAGACATATACCTCTGTGTTCCTATGGCATGGCTAATCTATATCTGTTCCTACAAAAGGCTGTAGTCAGTTAATTATACTATAGTGTGAATTTTTTAAACATGTCAATATATATCAGAAAAAGGAATTAACTGAACACAAATTCTAACACTGTTTTACCTGAGAAACCCATATTTGACATCAGCATTTCACTATACATAGTATTTACAAGCACAGAGACAGACAAGTTAGAGAGGAAAACCATATATAAAATAGGACAACAAGCAAATCATTCAGGTTGCTGCAAGTTGCTGAACCTTCTTATCTCCATCTTTCTATGCCCTTTCTCCTGCCCCAGGACTGCTTTCATTCACATAAAGACCTTCATCTTCCCATTATATTCTTTCATATTCTGTCTCTTCTAGAATCTACAGAATTCTCCATCTCCTTCTGCACCTAGAATCTGAGAGTCCAAGAGCTGACTGGGACCCAGAGTAATTCAGTCAGTTCCACCCTGCACCTAATCTGTCTTTCAAAAGCCATGGCAAACTGACAATGGTGATGAACCCCAAGGTCATTTCTCCCACCACTACCTTAACATTTTACCACAGCAATACCACAAATCTCATTAAATTATAATCACCTATTTACAAAGTAACATGTGCCTTATTTAAATAAAAAACTTATACTTTCTTCATACTTGAAAACAACAGACTTACACTTAGAAAAAGTATGAATATAATTCACTTACCAAAACATTGCCAGTGACCTCTAAAATATAAAATGGATGTCACTGTCAGGCTTATAAACTAACTGATCATGGACTTCCTACAGCGTTTAGATTAAAACAACTCTGTCTGCGTCTCCAATGCATTTCCCAAAGCTGTCGGTGTCCACTCAAGTGGCTTCTAAAGCAACAGATACACATGGCTTCTTAACATAAGCTCTTTCTCTGCCTCTCTATTTGGCTGAAGCCTATCAATACTCAGGTTATAGCTAACATTTCACGTTTTCAAAGAGGCCTTGTTTGTCCAGTTGATCTATGTCATAGTTCCCTTTTGTTCTCTTTTACGTTTTTTTTCTACAAAGTATTTGTCACATTTTGAAACCACCTATTCATTTTTAAGTATATTTAACTAATCTCTCTCTCCCTTTGTAGTTCTAAGTTGCATGAGGCAGGTATACCTATCTATTTTGTTCACCTCATCTGCCAGCAACATTAGGCACTCAAATATTCATGAATGAATGAAACAGAGCAGTTTTGAAGGAAAGTTTCGCTTCCTTCAAAAAAAAATTAGAACTGAAGATGCTATTCTTTTTTCCAACATCAACGTTCTGCTCAAAAGAAACCAAAATCTTTCCCCAGATATGAGAAGACATATATGAGTAGCTTCATATTCACTGACATAACAACAGTTATTCTTTTAACTCCTCAGTGATATCAAATGTGAACCAAATGTTAAAAGAGCTTTAAACAAACACAATAGCAGTACAATGAAACTGAAATGTACTCTGGGCTATGGGGTTCTCATCTGTATAACAACTCCTATGCTGGATTCTCTCACCAAAAGACAATTAGGTATTTTAGGAACTTGCAGCATTATTAGATGCTGAAAGGAGATGAACTAATCTAGACTCATCTCTACATGGGATTTTATATCCCTCTCTCCACTTCCCCAGGGAAGTTATTCTGTTCCTAATAAGATGTTCACTTTAATATGTCTTTTCTGTATATATATAAAAAAAGCAATAAAAGCTAACTAGCTAGCTAGATAGATAGATAGATTGATCTCCATCCAAACAATATAGAAATGTATATGGAAAAAATGAAAATTTCTTGTTTTACAATCTACCCCCGCTAAATTCCACTATCAGAGGTAACTGCTGTCACCATTTAGGTTGCTTTATTTTTAGGGTGACCAGTCATCCTGGTTTAACCAGGACTGAGGGTTTTCACAGGATATGAGACTTAAAGGGTAGTAGTCCTGGACAATTTGGGATAATTGGTAATACTAATTATTTCTTACTTTTTTCTTAGCATACTCCAGTACATATATAGATTTTTAAAATAAATACAGATTCATATTATGTACACTGTTTTACAGTGTTTTTTTGACACTCAACAGTATATTCAAAATGAGATTGTATGTGCGTGTGTGCAATCCATATGGTTTAGTTCAAGTTAAGATAAACGACTATGATTTTGCAGCTCTACTATTATGAAGGTATATTTTCAAAGTCATCTACTTTAAGAAAGTATCTCATTTTATCAAGTAACTTAATTTATCATTCATTTAGCACTTCAAATACATTTCCTTGATACCAGGACACCATTAACTATAAACTATCACAAATTTAATGACAGCTTCTCAGGAAAAAAGGAATACCCTATTAAATATATGTATATATTCTTTTTGTTAAACAACATTACATACATATCTGCAAAACATATAGCACTTTCTTTTTCAATAATACACTCAATATTTGACTCTAAGCTTTATCAACATTCAGAAGCTAAAGACTTTTGAGTCAACTTCATGGATCAATAATTACATAGTATCACAGTAAGAGACTATTTTTCATAATCCATGATGCTGATTTTGACCTCCTTACCATCTTCAGTATTGACAGTATAATTCTGAAGCACATACCAGTGTTTCCTTTGTATGACTACTTGGTTCAACAAATAATTTCATTATTTTTCTTAAAGGAATTATATATCAATAGATGTGAAACAGCTCTTTAAAGTCAGCAAGTCTTTTGATAGATAAATGAATTTTCAGGACCTCACCAATGGTCCTTACGTACACATGAATTGCTCATATTAACTCTCTTAGATTTAATAATGTTACACACGAGGTCAGACAATTAAGTTCGCGAACTTGTTACAACGATGTTGCTAACCTTTTTTGATATCAGAGGGATTGTTCATTATGAATTTGTACCAACTGGACAAAGAGTTAACCAAGTTTATACTATTTGGAAGTGCTGAAAAGGCTGCGTGAAAAAGTTAGGAGACCTGAAATTTTCACCAACAATTCATGGCTCTTGTATCATGACAATGCACCAGCTCACACGGCACCATCTGTGAGGGAGTTTTTAGCCAGTAAAAAAATCACTGTATTGGAACACCCTCCCTACTCACCTGATCTGGTCCCCAAGGACTTCTTTCTTTACCTGACATAAAGGAAATAAATATGGAAAGGAAGACATTTTGATGACATTCAGGACATCAAGGGTACTATGACGACAGCTCTGATGGCCATTCCAGAAAAAGAGTTCCAAAATTGCTTTGAAGGGTGGACTAGCCGCTGGCGTTGGTGCACAGCTTCCCAAGGGGAGTACTTCAAAGGTGACCGTAGTGATATTCAGGAATGAAGTATGTAGCACTTTTCCTAGGACGAGTTCACGAACTTAATTGTCCAACCTAGTACAATGTATTGAGACGCAGCAATTTCTACTGCCTTTAATTGATATGTCTGGAGTGTGAGAGGCAGTCTTCTGCATATTTAATAACTTTTCATTTCATGTTTGCTTCACCAGAAAAGTCTTTTTGAAATCTTCTGTAAATAAAAGAGGACTCTAAATGATAATTTAGCTAAGTGAAGGGTTTATCAAATGATATAACAATTAGATGAATAGTTATTTTTAACATCTTATAGCTTAGCACAAAAATGCTAAAATTAAAGTTCAAATTGTTTCCTCAGAGGTATTCACTTCTTCTTGACAGTAGACTTTTTCTTTGGAGGTGGTACTGGCATGACCACACACATAACAGTCCATAACCTGACTTCTCTCCACTGCCTGCCCCACCCCCCTCCAGGCAGTGTGCAGTCTCTTACTACTGGAGGCAATCTGGCAAATGCAAACTTCTGTACTCTAAACACTTACAACATACTTTGTTTTAAGAGTTTCCACATTAGGTCTTGGGAAATAAGTCTCAGGGGAAAGTTTACCTGTCCATTTTTGCTTCCTGCTGACAATAGGCTGCATAAGAGATTATGTTTTCATGGCTGCACCTCTCAGTGGCCAGACCACCAACATAAAGAACGAAGTCAGCATCGCGGACGCCCTCTTGATCTGGCACACCCACTGCTCCACAGAACCACTTACCCCCACGGCAGACCCTGCATTGCTGCACCCATGGAGGGCAACAAAAAATCAGACCAGAGACAAGGTTAGCTGTGGGGACTTTTAATTTATAGTGAATCCAGACTCTAAATACATATAATTTTTATTTATTATCCCTCAACTTTTATCAAAATCCATACCTTCCTCTACTCATGTCCTGTCTCTAATTTTAAATTCATTTTACTAAAATTTCTACTTTATGTAAAATGATCATAAGTCTATCTAGTCGTACTTAAAACAAACAATTGCTATTTATAAAGGGCAGCCAACCAGGATGCAAAAAAGAAATACAAAAGGTTTTAAACCCTGAAACTAGGTGAAAGTTATAAGGGACGTCTTTATTCATTTTTTGCAACTTCCTATGAATCTACACTTATTTCAAAATTAATAAACATTTTTATTTAATATAAATATATTTCCTGTCATAAATTTATTCATGTATCTTGTTTAAAATTCAAATACAAAAGGATATAAAGTAAAAAGTTAAAGTCATCTCGTTTGTTTCTAGTTTTCTAAGCAAATCTTATTTAGCCCCTCTAATGTCTGCTTTTTAGAGAACTTCTATCAAAAAAGTTCCTAAACAATCATAATCTCTAAATTATAAATTTAAAAAATCAGTAAATTGTGATTTTTTTTAGGCATAATACTTACACAGAGAGAAAAATCAGAAATCCCCATTTCATTACATTCTTTTGCTTCTCTAACACATGTATTTAATAATTTTTAAATTCAATTACTTTAACCTATCAATAGTCGGTATTACTAAAAGTTGTGATTTTTAAGTATTCTTTCCCATGATAGCTCATTTATTTTCTTTTTAAAATCAGGACTCCCAAGAAGATAAGTAGAAAGCAGAATTTGGAAAAGCCAAGAGAATTAAAAACAAAAAATACCTTAGAAATAAAGCAAAGAAATGTATTTTAAAATGTCTAGGAGGGGCCGGCTGGGTGGCTTGTTGGTTAAGAGTTGATTTGGGAGTGCGAACTTTGAGTAGCAGGGCCTCCAGTTCAGATCCCACATGGGCCAGTGATGCTGCGTCCTCTACAG